GACTGACTGACTGTCTGTCTGTCTGTCTGTCTGTCTGTCTGACTGTCTGTCCGTCTGTCTGTCCGACTGACTGACTGACTGTCTGTCTGTCTGTCTGTCTGTCTGTCTGTCTGTCTGTCTATCTGTCTGTCTGTCTGTCTGTCTGTCTGTCCATCTGTCTGTCTGTCTGTCCGTCTGTCTGTCCAACTGACTGACTGTCTGTCTGTCTGTCTGTCTGTCTGTCTGTCTGTCTGTCTGTCTGACTGTCTGTCTTTACAGCCTCCGTCTCAAATCTCTCTCTTTCTTTTATTTCTGCCCGTTCTCCTCTCTGCCTCTCTCTAATTGCTCCCTCCTTCTTCTTCATCACAATAATCTTTTCATCTGCCTCACCCCTCTCTCTTTCTTTCTGCTCGCATCAAATAAATCTTTTCCCTCAATGACAACCACCGTCTCTGTGTCTCTGTCTCTCTGAGGGCTCTCGACTCGTTCACAATGGCCTCTCCAAACCCTGCATCCCTCTCCTCCTCCTCCTCCTCCTCATCCTCATCCTCCCTCCATCCTGATCTGCTCTCACTGGACAGTAACAGTCTTGATGCAGTGTTGCATGTCGATGGCTATTGATTTTTCTTTCCCTCTCTGCCTCTGTGTTTCTCTTTACCCCTCTCTGCACTCTCTGCCAGCTCCGCTGTGCCAGGCCCACAGTATTCTCAACACCAGCGTGTGTGAGTGCACGCCTGTTGTTGGTGGGGGAGTCGAGGTGTGAGGAGGGGGAGGGAGGCTGCCTCTCTCTTTCACATGACACCATCACATGCAGATTTCTTTTCTACACAGAAATAAAATATTTACCAAAGTTAAACATCATGAATAAACTGCTTCCAACACAAAACACTTTAAATCTCTCTCCCCCTCTCTTCCACCATCATCTCTCCATCCACAACTTCCTGCCCCACTCCCGTCTTCCCCAGGAACAACCTGTTTCTGGATTCATCAAACTGCCAGGAGAGAAAGGAGCTGCCTGTTCAAAGGATGCTTGATTACACAACACAATATCCTGTCCAAAAAAAAAAAAAAAAAGGAGAAAGAGTTCACGGATGGAGGGGAAGGAGAGACGAGGGGGAGGAGAGCATGTGGTAAAGGAGAGTTGCCGAGGGTGAGCCACTAATAGAGAGAGAGGCAGCAGGAGAGAGTGAAAGGGAAGAAAGAAGATGGAGTTAAAAGGTGTTCAGTATTCAACATCAATGAATCATTACCAGATTAATTGTGAGACAGCGTAATTACAGCGCTGCCCAAAAGGCTGACAGCCTCCATTAAAGCTGAGGGAGGGAGGGAGGGAGGGAGGGAGGGGAGGGAGGACAAGCAACAACGTCTTCTTCATGACAGGGAGGCCAAGGATTGATGGGAAAGTTTTTTACCAGTGGAATCAAACAGAGCTGCATGTTGTTCCTGCGATCGCCTCATAATCAGGCGATCGAAGAAGAACCTGATCTTCATCTACGTCCGAAGCAAAGACGACAAACAAACAGTGTAACAGCATTTTAATAAATCCCTTCATTAGCACCGCTGGGAGAAAACCTCAGCGAGACCTCGGTCTGATGAGAAGAGATAGAGGACAGGAACGAGAGAACAAAAACAAACAGAGGATGAAAGACGGTCGCACACAATGAGGTGAGGTGAGAGACGGAGGTGTGTGTGTGTGTGTGTGTGTGTGTGTGTGTGTGTGTGTGTGTGTGTGTGTGTGTGTGTGTGTGTGTGTGTGTGTGTGTGTGTGTGGGCTTGCCGATGGTCAGAGGTTTGCAGTGAATGGCTCCGTCCACAAAGCACAGAGTGAGTCAGCGCTACTGAGTAATCACAGGTATCCACATCAGTTACATCATGTGACAACAGTGATCAGGTCTCACACACACACACACACACACACACACACACACACACACACACACGTGGATAAATTACACACAACTTTTACCAGCTCCCAGATTCAGCCTCGGGACTGACCTTTGACCTCTCTGAGACGGATCAATAAGAACACAGCCATAACACGAAGACTCAGGATAAAAGCATCAAACTAGCGAGAGGTATAAAAAGAAGTAAAGTAAATAGATAAAGACAATAGTGTTATAAAGTTAATTAAAAGCAAGATCATCATAGAAGTAGTTATAAAAGTTATAATGCTAAGAAACGATCCACAGACGTGGTTTGTCTGACGTGTGGTGGGAGTTTGGTTCTAAATCGTTGGTGCATAGCAACAGAAATCTGCTTCCCCAAACTTTTTTGTAGTTGATTTTTGGGATGTTATGTAACTGTAGCAGGATAAATTAGAATATGGCAGCAGCCGCCACAGTCGTGATAATTAATGGGAAACACTGGATGTATGTTTATGTCTCTGACAAGTTTGGTTTTAATTGGTTATTCGATGCTTTAAAAACATAATTTCTGGTGCATCGGCCGGACCTCGATACCTGATCACTGCTGCACAATGACCAAGATATTATAGCAAGTGGAGACACGTCGTCCGTCTTTAGATACGATCATCAGACCTCATCAGACCTCATCGTCGTTAAGGATCTGGATGATGAATGAGACATTTTTAGAAACACGCAGATGAGGACGTTAGAGAAAGAGCTGCATCATCCTTGAACCAGTTTGCCACGGGGGCTTTCACTTAGATCCAACAGAAAATATCTGCAGCGATAATTATCCTGCGAGTGTGTTTCACCTCTCAGGGCTTCTCCTGGTGTTCCACAAGGAAATACCCTGCTGTTCTGTTCTGGGACTCACACAGAGGAAGAGAGAGACGGGGACAGAGAGAGAGAGGGAGGGAGAGAGAGAGAGAGAGAGAGGCTGTCCTGTCCTGGGCCCTGCTGCCGTCTAAATCTAGGTTAGACATTTGTGTGAGTGTGGAGGAGAATCAGAGTCGAGCTGGTTTACAGGCCGGGCTGTGACTGTAACTGGTCGCCGCTTCGTTTCTTCTCGATTGAATCAGATCTGACTGTAACCTGACACGTTCCAGTCAGGTGGCGAGCGCTCCAAGCTGCCTCTGCTGCAAAGAGACTGCATTTCTAAATGTAGGTAACTGCTGGTTTTCATGAGATGCTGGCAATTACTAAACAGCATCTAATGCATAATAGTGTGGTAGGAGATTTACAGTAACCTGAGGTTTATGTTTTATTTCTCTTTAATTGAAAGTATTTAAACTTTCTAGACAGACCTATAGTCTCGATTTTCTCTCGGCTGCTTCGACATAACTCATGAAATAAGTTCATGCGAGTACTTTTTGTGTTGAGATCTCCTTTAAGCATAAAGCGGCACCCTACTTTAAACAAGGACACTCTGTCCCTCCCCAAAAATAATTCACCCCCCCACCCGTGCCTGTCCTCTAAATATCCAAGCATGATCCTCCTCAGCGCAGATCATCTGAAGTTTTACAGTTTTCACACCTGTCACATGTCTTTAATTATTCATTTGTAGCGTCGTTAACTCCGTCAGATCCACCCGAGGGTTCGAGATTTTCAATGAGACATTGTCCACATCCACAATTTGGGGGGTTAACAGACCAACAACCTGTTCGCTGTTGGTCTATCAGGCCGCTACACTGGCTGCAAAATGAAATCACAACTAATGCAACTTTCATGTGTAGGATTCTACAAGTAGAGCGAGAACATATCACCGTGATATACGTGACATCCCTGCCCTGTCGCTGTCTTGATCACTTTCTTCCTTTCGGTGACGTGACTCTTCAACCATGTGGACGAGCGAGGTGAGCAGCTGCAGCCCTCTGTGGTCACTGCCCTCAGCAGAAGACTAATAGGACTAATAGGATTGGATCTGCACTGATTCCGCTCATGCACGCTCTACAAACACAGGCATGTTCCGCAGCTGCATTTACATCGTACACATGTAAGCCTATAAGCATATAAGGAGGTGTGTGTGTCTGTGCGTGTGTGTTTGTGTGTGTGTTTGCCTTCCTGCTCTTTCAGGCCACCTGCCAGCACTGTTGGCATAATGCGGAAATCTCTCCCTCTCTCTGTATGTATGTCTCGCTCTTTCTCACTTTCTTTTTCTCTCTTACTCCCAATTTGCATCCTCTCCATCCATCTTTCCTCTTTTTTTCTCATTCTCACAACATTTCTGTCTCTCTCCGGCATTTTTCTCTTTTTATCTTCATCTGAACCCACTCAACCATCTCAGCCTAGAGAACATGCAAACTACTGCTGGATGCATCCAAACCTTCCACACGGTGCACGGTATACACACACAGTATACTTTACATAAGTTACAGCTATTGACCATAATGTCAGAGTGCCACGACATTGATCGGTTTCAAGGTTAACCGTTAATCAGATAGTGACCATAACCTCTTTTCAGACGAACGCTCCGCTCTAACTCAGTGACACTAACCCACAGTCTGAGGCTGCTTTCCCTCCGCACACATTCATCACAGCTGTTGCTCACGTCTCCCTTTTTCAGCATCGTAACACAACATCACAAAGTCACAGTATCTGCCTCCTTACTCACAGGGTTTGACAAATCCACAACGTTAGGATCAGCTTTAAAAGAAAGTAACTAAATGCAGCTTTATTATCTCCACCGATGAGGCTATGACGTCTCTGTCTCAGCAGGATTAGTCAAAAACTACTGAAGCCTACTCGTTGTGGAGCAGATCCGCTCGGAGAGTCACTTCCACTTTACATTAACATGGAGAAATATATGGTGCAAATTAAGAAAACTACTTCATCAATTTGACGACACGTGAGCTGCAGAAAGTCACAACACATGCAAACTCTGCAAATAACAAAAACGGAAATGTTTCCAGGGGACACACAAAGGTGACGGACCTGGCTGTAGCTCAGTGCTTTGTGAAGTTCCATCACCACTGACGAGGAGAGGACTACAAAATTGCTTTTCTCAGTTTCTGACTTTTAAGGGTGTTGGTGAAGCATAGAGGAAATACTGCTTGAATAAAACATGGCTACGATAACTGAGACAAACATTTATTATCACCTTCAGTATTTCTTTTCAGAACTGGCTGCATGGCTGCATCATATATTAACTGTGGAACAGGACTCAAACAAACTGCTCAGTTTATTTCTCTGGATTTATCTCTCACCAAGTATTTTCTTCTTTTAAACTTTGCAGCACAACATCCGTCTATAAATAAACAGCGTTCGTAACCGTCTTCCTTTAAACAACAAGGACTGGGACCAAACTGGGTCATAGGCCCAGATCTGGCTGGTCCTCACATGACAAGAGTATCGACGTGTGTCCATGACAACAGGTCCCAGGACAGCTAATTAGTTTCTGCTGTGAGTCCTGAGCCCGAAAACACAGAAATGTTGCTTCATATACTTATAAATAATTTATTTCTACTGTGAAAAGAAGAAGGAGAAAAGTTCAGGGCACATTAACGTCCTGACCCCAGCTGTGCACATAGTTTTAGTCGGGTGAGCAGAGTTATAATGAGAACAGACTCATTTCCATTCAGCAGAGCAGCTTCATCAGTCTGAGCAGCTCCAGACCGTCTGGCTTCGCTCGCTCTGTTCCTCCCTCACCCGTCTTTCACCTTCACCTTAATCCTGCTCTTAATCTGTCATTGATCTCAATTAAAATGTGGAATGAAGCTACAGGTGTTTACACGCAGAGACAACGTCAACAATGACGACCGTGTGTTAACAACGTAGTAGAAGAAGAAGAAGCATTAGTGACAGTCAAACCCCTTTTAGTTGTGGATTTATTTAACTGCTGTGAAAACCTAGTCTGTACATAAAGGTTAAAGCCCCACTATGTGGATTGCCCCCTGGTGGCTGCCTGCTGTGTAGGCTGTGATCCCTGCCTCTGCCATGTTAGTGGATGGGACACTGACAAACTAAAAGTGTAAAAGTTCACGTTAAATACATTTTTCTCAAAGATGGTTTCTGTCATTTTAAGAATTCTTCTTCTCACACAGATGTTTGTGTCTGGAAAGTTTGGTTTTCATTAAATATTTTTAAACGTGTATCGACAGGACGGCCATACTGCGACTCCATCCCTCGATCTCCACTGTACAGAGACAAAAAGCAAAATGGTGGCTCTTGTGTTCAGGATATTGTGGCTTCAGTTTTGGATGGTGGGAGGAAGTGGAATCTTGTCGTCCATCAGTGGAAAAACAAATAAATATAGACTAATTTCATGACATCACAGGACTTAAATAAATGCAGAAAGTGAGATAACGTAGAACTGTACGTTTCTGTGTTGATGAAAGACTGTGGTCAAGATAGATTTACGATTATCCTCTGAGCTGGCGGCCTTAGAGAAACAACAAAACACAGACTCGTCCACAAATCAAGTGGCGTCGCTACCTTGACAGAGCGATTTCAGACTTCTGCCGGGAGATGTCGGAGGCCTTCTGCGCTCCCTCCACGGCCCGGTCCACCTTCTCTCTGATCTTGCTGGCCCGCAGGGGGATCAGGTTCTTCCTCTTCCCGCTGACCAGGATGTTCTGCTTGTACTTCCCTTCCTCTTTCGTCCCATCGGGAAACGTGGTGCAGCCGTAGCCGTGGCGCTTGTTGCTGAGCCACTCCCCCTCGTACTGCAGCCCGTCGGAGCGCCGGCTCACTCCGAACCCTGTCCGCTTGTCATTCTTCCACTCTCCGCTGTAGGTCTCTGTCGCTGTTGCATCCACATCATCGTCAGCGACAGCCAGTTCTGCATCTGCATCTCCGAGACTGGAGAGGAGAATGAATACATTAGTTTGATTGATTTAAGGCAACGATCATTATCTATTTTTGAATATAACAAAGTTTACGAGGACTAAAATAAATTTGGTTGCTTCTCACAGGAGATCGTACCCACTCACCAAAGTGACACAGAACAGACGTTCAGGGTGAAGAGTGGGAATGACAGAGGAAACATTCTCCATGTTCACACTCACTCACACATCAAACTTATTTTGAAGCTAAAATCTTAAGGTTGAAACATATTGTTTTAATTCCATTGGCCCAACATTATTATTATCATTATTATTATGCTCATAATAAGCAACAACAAATGATGAAACACGTGAGTCGATGACTGGTTAACTGCGATACATCACATGTGAACAATTTAATGCCTGCATGCACGAGAGCTGTTTCCAGCAGCAGGATGGAAAAAGCCTAGAAACCTCTGCCCTTATCAACCCTGCCAGTCACTAATCAGACCTGATGAGCCACTCTGCAAACAAAGAGGTTTAGAGCTGCTGACACTCGCTGTCTAGTAATTGGTTCCTTTAAAAATAAGACACCCCAATCCAAACACTTCCACTGGTCCCCGACTGATCGACAGCATTCGTTTCAAATCAGCTGTGGTTTGCTTTTCCTTTAAGAGTCGGAACGTCCCACCAGGGACATGATCTGCTGTGTCCAATATGATTGGTCAGAGAATGTTCAAATGTGCACCAGCAGAGCAGAGAACAGGTTTATCTATGGATGACACTTTGAAAAGTAGTTGACAGGTCCCAGGCGTAACTGTTGTGCTGAAGATATTCTTGATTTTAACTACATATATGCATCATGGCTGCATTACTCGACTTGTCCAATAACATTTGGGAATATCTGACATCTACTAAAATGCCCTACTGCCCATTTTCTTTCATTTCCGAGTCTAACCCTTCTTTACAAAGTCTACCACCATGTAACCAGCTTGCTCTTCCTCTGGTCATCACCTGATGGTTGAGTTGATGTCGGATGCAGCAGAGGACACGGTGCTCATCCCAGCCTCGCTCCTGAACGAGCTCTGTTTCGACCTCTGTGAGGCCAGAGAGCTCCTGGACTCTGACTTCCTCAGCTTGAGGCCGGACAGGATGGACCTCCTGAAGAGCCCGCCTTTCCTCTTCCCCTTCAGCAGCTCAGCCTCGCTGTGCGCCATCAACACAAAACCTCCACGGGACACCGCGGGGCTGCTGCCGCTGCTGCCCGTGCTGCACATGGAGACGCTGGTGGTCAGAGTGCCGGGGACGGGAGGAGGCCCAGGAACCACCGCCCCGGTCCGGTCCAGCAGAGCCGTACCGTTGCTGTGTTCCGAACCGGAGCGGAGAGAGTTTATAGAGGTTCGCAGAGGGGAGCGGATGACGGCCGCCATGCCATATGGGACACTCTGACGAACTCCGTAGCCATGTCGCATCCCGCCAACCCACTGACCCTGAAATGTTCCTGGAGAGAGAGAGAAATAGGTTTAATACACAGTCTCATCCACCCGGGTCTTATCGTCAGGAGGTGGACGTACAGGTCATGGTTAGAGAGCAGCAAGTGAGAATAGAGATGTCGAGCTGATCAGTGTTTGGAAACACAAAGGAAGCAAATATCTGCACAAAGCTGCCGGAATTTATTATAGTTTATCAAATCACTGATCGGACACTTAGGCAGGGACGTCAGGAAAAGTTAGGACTGAGGGCCTGTGACTCCGCCACACTCACTCACACCGATCTACATTCATTTAGATTTAAACCATTTAGTGTCAAAACGTCATTAAAACAAAAACACGACAGAAAGCATTTCTCTTCCTTTCCAGTGTGTCAGTCTCACACAGTGACATTCACATTATGTAAAAACAAAACAAAGCAAGGAGGACAAACGTCTCAGTTTCCATCAGCAATTCAAATGTCTGAGTCCGGGAGTCGACCAATCTTCTTGCCTAAATGCTGACAAGAATAAACTCGATGTTTTTAACTAAAAGCAACTTTCAGAAATATAATTTTCTACTTTAAGTATATTTAAAGGCAAGTTTTACTCAAGTAGAAAAGTTACATTCACTCTTACTTGAGGACATTTTTGTCTATTTACTCGTACTTTTACTTGTGTAAAATGTTTGAGTACTTCCTCCACCACTGCTGCATTGTGGGAGAGTATAGTTTAAATCCAAAAGAAGAATAAATGAGATGTTTTTCACGAACTCTTCTCTCTGTGATGTTAAAATTGGGTTTGTCTTCCTCTTGTCAGATCGTCCCATTCATTCATAAGCGCTCGCTGCTACATAACTGTCCTTACATCTGAAAAGTAGGGCATCTGAGTGTGTGTGTGTCTGTGTGTGGTTCCATCATTCCTCTCTCTCTCTCTCACACACACACACAAACACACACACACACACACA